ACCACTGACCTTGTGGTTCAAAACAACTTTGCATTCCAGCACATTAACCCACAGCACCACAGCAGGACTGGTGGTGTAGTTGTTAAGTGCCATAGAATCAGTTCCGACCCATAGCGACTCTGTATAGGGTTCTGAGGAGTGGCTGATGAGTTTGAACTGCCGACCTTGCGGTTCAAACGACTTTGCAGTCTAGCACATTAATCCACAGCGCCACACCAGGACTCCAGGACTGGCATTAGATAGTGGTAATTTTTGCAAAATTCTAAATACACTTAAAATCACTTTAAATAGGTACAGTCTATGGTATGTAGATCATTTTCAATAAATATATTATTCAAATAACATCTACTATTCTATTATTTTTTAAATATCTAATATTAAATGCTGTTACTATTAAAATAGCTAAAATCTAATATTAAAACACAGAATTCTGGTAGCATAGTGGTTACTAATCAGGCTGGTAACTTCAAGGTCAGCAGTTCAAAACTACCAGCTGCTCCATGGGAGAAAGATGAGGCTTTCTGCTCCCATAAAGATTTACAGCCTCAGAATCTTTATACAGGGTTGCTATGAGTCAGAACCAACTCCACAGCACATAACCGCCACCACCATTATTCAAATATACATATAATTTTCAAAAAACAATTTTAAAAAATTTAAATCCCCTCAATGATCTCATCACTTACCCTGCTACCTCCCTGTGTTTCTTGTTTACATTGTTCCTTCTTTTCCCAGCCTTTCTGAACTTTGTCCTGGGGTAAATGCTGCCCTTTTGATCTCCAATGGTTGACCATTCTCTGGTGTGTATAACTCAATAGTGTTATTGTTCCCTCTATAGATCTATATCTATTACTTGGTTGAAATTGAGTCACAAGGGTAATTTCAGTTGCAGACCTGAAGGCTGACCAAAGGCCATAGTCTCAGGGGTTTTACCAGTATGGGCCCAAAACCAGTAAGCTTGGTCTTTTTTTATGATTTCAAGTTTTGTTTGACATTTTCTCTCACTCTTTCCAGGACCTTCTAATGCAGTCCCTTTCAGACCAATTGGTAGTGGTGCCCAGGCACCATCTAGTTCTTTTGGTCTCAGGGTTATGGAAACTGATGTTCATGTGCTTCATTAATCTGTTGGATTGTTTCCATGCATTTTCAAAATTCATCAATCTTCTTTCCTCCACACAGGGAGAGACCAATAGTTGCTACTACAGTTGCTACCCACCAAAGTAGGGTATAGAACAGTATCCTTGTGGGCTATTTGACCTTGGTGTCCGCCAATTGACCTTGGTGTCCCTCAAGACTAGGGTCCTGAACTCCCAGGCCCATCAAATCATTCCCTTAAGTTGTTTGGTTATATTAAGAAGCTTTCATAAGTTTGCCCCCCTGTATGCTCTACCACATTCATGGATATATTTGCAGTGAACATAAATACTCGTGTACAAATATCCTCTGTCAAACCTGTAGATATGTGTGGGTAAACTCTCACTCTCCCTCCTACACTCATTTAGCCCGTTTGTCTATCCATTATCGAATTAGTTTCATCTCTTAATAACCCTCTATAAGGTTTCCAACAAGTGTCTGGTGGATTTGAACCACAGAAACTGTGGTTAGCAGTCCAGTGTTTATCCTACAGCGCCATACAGATCATCATTATTGCAGGATTGTGTATATAACAGTATTTTCCTCTATTGTCTTTAATGTTTGCGCTCCTTCCCATGTCTTCCCCTGCCTCCATCAATTTTTGCAATTATACTCCCTTGAAGTCAGGATGGCAAAGACTTTGCCTCTCACACTTTGGACATGTTATCAGAAGGACCAATCCCTGGGGAAGGGCATCATACTTGGTAAAGTGGAGGGTCAGTTGAAAAGAGGAAGACCTTCAACAAAATAGATTGACACAGTGGCAGCAGCAATGGACTCAGATGTAACAATTGTGAAGATGGTGCCGGAGTGGTCACTATTTCATTCTGTATTGCATACGGTCACTATGAGTCTGAACCAACTTGATGGTAGCACTTAACAAAACAACAAAATGCTTTTACACTCTTTTTAGCATAGGAATCTCCCGCTAAACTACTCAGCATTGTCTTTTTCTATAAACCACAGATGTGTTTCACTTATCATGAGTGAAAAATGTTTGTACCTTGAAAGTTCTAATTCGTCTAGGAGTCAAAAGATCTGTATTTTTCATTTCCAAGATCTGCCATTAAGAGTTGTGTAATTTGGGACCATCTATAAAAAGTCCTCATCTATAAAAATGTGAATGGAGTTGATGACCTAGAACAGGCACACTTAAAATATATTACTTTCTCTGTAAAAATGAGTGGAAGGGAGCTGATAATGTAAAAGATTCTTCTCTTTAAGAACAACCAAGTATTGCTGAAGAAAATTACTCAACAGGCCATAGTTACCAACCTCAAATGGATACTCAACATTGCCTTATAAACAGTGTCTTTCTCCAATTGGCAACCTCTCCCATTCTCTATAGTTGTCATTTCAAGTCCTCCACTCTCAGAAATCACTCCCACACCCCCACCTCCACGTCTGTTTTCAGTGTCAGGTTATCTACTTACAATGGAGCTCTTTAAAATGTTAAAGAGCAAATATGTCATTTGCAGACTTAAGTCATGGTATTTTCAATCACCTCATATGCATGTGAAAGCTGGACAATGAATATGGCAGATCAGAGAAAAACTGATGAATCTGAGTTATGGTGTTAGGAGAGGAATGTTAAAAGAGCCATGGACTACTAAAAGAACAAACAAATAAATCTGTCTTGAAAGAAGTACAGCCAGATAGATAGTTCCTTGGAAGCAATGATGACAAGACTTCATCTCTTGTACTTTGGACGTGTTCCCAGGAAGGACCAATACCTAGAGAAGGACATCATGCTTGATAAAAGTGGGGGGTCAGTGAAAAAGAGGAGCACACTCAGTGAGATGGACTGACACAGTGGCAACAACAATGACCTCAAACATAACAACAATTATGAGGATGGTAGAGGACCAAGAAGTGTTTCCTTCTTTGACATAGTAGTCACTATCCGAGAAGCTGGGTTCTATGAAGAAAAACATGGCATCAGGATTGGAGGAAGACTCATTAACAACCTGCGATATGCAGATGATACAACCTTGCTTGCTGAAAGTGAAGAGGACTTAAAACATTTACTGATGAAGATCAAAGAGCACAGCCTTCGGTATGGATTACATCTCAATGTAAAGAAAACAAAAATCCTCACCACTAGACCAATAAACAACATTCTTATCAACGGAGAAAAGATTGAAGTTGTCAAGGACTTCATTCTTCTTGGATCAACTGTCAACACTCACGGAAGCAGCGGTCAAGAGATTAGATGACGTATTGCATTAGGCAAATCTGCTGCACAAGACCTTTTTAAAGTGTTGAAGAGCCAAGATATCAGCTTGAGGACTAAGGTGTTCCTGCCCCAAGCCATGGTATTTTCAATAACTTCATATGCATGTGAAAGCTGGACAGTGAATAAGGAAGACCGTAGAAGAATTGATGTTTTTGAGTTATGGTGTTGGAGGAGAATATTGAAAGTGCTATGGGCTGCCAAAAGAACCAATAGATCCATGTTGGAAGAAGTGCAGCCAGAGTGCTCCTTGGAGGCCAAGATGGCCAAACTTCATCTCTCATACTTCAGACATATTGTCAGGAGGGACCAGTTGCTGGAGAAGGATATCATGTTTGGTAAGGTGGAGGGTCAGAGAAAAAGAGGAAGACCCCCAATGAGATGGATTAGCCAAGTGGCAGCATCATTGGACTCAAGCATGGCAACAGTATTGAGGTTGGCCTGGGATCAAGCAGTGTTTCGTGCTGCTGTGCATAAGGTCGCTATGAGTCAGTACCGACTTGATGGCACCTAACAACAACAACATGCGTTGGAACCATCTCAACCACGCCTAACAATAACCACCACCACCTCGTCTTTTATTCACAAAGAAAATAGACACTAGCAGAAAACCATTCTCATCTCTCTATATCCTAATGCATAAGTATCTACATTCCATCTTCTTTCCTGTTACAAGAGGAAGAGTCAGTTTATCAATTACAACAGGTAATTATTCTATTGTGCTTTGTAACCTATCCCTCTCCCCTTTTCAGAAGCCTAACACTATGATTGTTATCCCTTTTCTCTTCCAACTGGATCCTTCTCAATAACTTTTAATCTTCTATTAGCAATGTAAAGACATTGAACCCACAAGATTGTTGATATTTCTAGTTACCAACGGAAGTATGGCCACCAGTTGACAATAATGGGACCACAATTCATGATTCATTTCATTGTCAAGTTTTGGAATATTATTCTTGGTTAATAGCTTTTTTTCACTTGAGAAAGATTTGCTCTGATTTATTTTAGGCATTGTACTTCACTGGTGTGGTGCTGTGGGTTAATGCGCCAGATTGCAAAGCCATTTGAACTGCAAGGTTGGTGATTCAAGCTCACCAGTCGCTCCTCAGAAACCCTATACAGGGTCACTATGGGTCGGAACCGATTTGACAGCACTTAACAACAACAACAACTTTATTCCTTTATTTTGCATTCTTTCAGATTTACATATACAGTGGCTAAAGCTGAGTGATTATTTGCTTCTATCACTAGAATGTAAGCTCACCAAGGGCAGGTTCTGAGTCTGTATGCCTAGTTGAATACATAAGAGCTGAACAGATGTTTGTTGAATAAGTGAGTGAATGAAATCCTATAAGACAGATCCAGCAGAGAACTAAGTATCAGTTTATTTAAAAATAGGCTAATTTATACATGTTAGGAGTCCTTATGTGGCACTGTAGAATAATCACTAGCGTACTAACCACAAAGTCAGCATTTCAAACCCCCAAGTCGCTCCTTGGAAACCCTAACCAGGGTCGTCTGAGTCAGAACCAACTTGATGGTACTTAACAGCATAAATGTTAAGTACTTTTAAAAGTATTATGCATCTTGATATGTTTAAATGAGAATTGAAATTTTTTTGCTTTTTATTTAGGCCATGGAAGCAGGACTCTCAGAAGTGAAAAGTGAATTACAGTCACGGGATGATCTCTTGAGAATTATAGAATTGGAACGATTGCAGTTGCATAGAGAATTATTAAAAATGGGGGAGTTTCAAAATGCTCAAGAAAACAAAAAAAGGTATATTGTTCTTTATAGTTGACAATCTGAGAGAGATTGTTGAAACATAAACATGTTCAATTTTTTTTGGAGTTAATTTTGAAACAAGTTACATACCATTTGTGGATAATTTTATATACTAAAAATAATAAAATTAATGTTTAACTATTTTATCTTAAAATATGCTACATACATAGAAAATTATATCAAGTTCTGATTTTTTGACATTTTTGTGTCATAATAAGTTAGAAATTCTCTTGAAATGTGTAGTCTTCAGGACATTAGAAAAACAATATTTTTAATTAAATAACATTTATTTATGTTGATAAATAAGGCTTGTTCTATATTTTTCAAAAACTTTTCTCTAATTACCTAAAAATCTAACATTAGTTTTACTTTAAAAATGTATTTACTTATTACTAGTGTTGCTATTAGTCAGAATCAACTCAATGGCTTGTTTTTGGTTTATGGATATTAGAGGGGTAAAGCAGAAATGAGTATAAAATGTACAATTAGCACAGGCAGTTTAGAGAACTATAAGCAAGCAATGTTCACTTCCAAGACAAGTTGGTAAAATAAAAATCATTAAAACAAAATTAATGAAAGCCAAGCAGGAAAGCCAACTTACCAACTTGTCAGTTCCATTGAGGATTTCATTGTTAAAACAGTTTTCTTTGCCTCTTGTAATATCATAGAATTTATATATTCTATAACCACAAAGGAAATGAACTTCTGTGGACAATTTAATGTTTTTGCTGGTGAATAGACAGTTTGACTGCTTTAATAGTTCATTGGTGTTGTAATTGTCATTAGAACTAGAATCCTTCTCAAAATCAAAGCTAATGCTGAACCAATGAATCTTAAAATCTTAAGTCAAATGGAGAGAATTCTTTCATTGGAAGAGGATTATATTGTTTAAAAAGCAATACTTATTCCTTCAAAGTTGTGGAACTGCTAGCATTTTTTTGAGGTCTACAAAAAATGACAAATAAGATCTGTAAAAATGACCTATTGTGTATCTCAAAGATGGTAGAATGTCTATTCACCAGTCAACATTACTGAATGCTTGTATATAAGCTATAGATCATCCTCATTAAGTCTTTTGGATTTTATTATGTGTAAGGAGCTCTGCGGCACTTAACAACAACAAAGGAGCTCTGGTAGCGTAGTGGTTACGAATCAGACTGCGAACCTAAAGGTCAGCAGTTCGAAACTACCAGCTGTTCCGCGGGAGAAAGATGAGGCTTTCTGCTCCCGTAAAAATTTACAGCCTCGGAAACCCTGTACAGGGTCGCTATGAGTCGGAACTGACTCCACGGCACATAACAACAACAACAACAAGGCACTGTTCCATTGTGGCAAGCTGGTGAGATATGTCTTCACACAAAGAATTATGTGCCTAAAAATATAAGGAAGAACAAACCTTTCAACTTATGTCTAGTTTTGGTATTGTGAAGAGTGTTGTAGGTACGTTTTGGAGCACTTTTGCACAAGGCTAATGCTGCACTCCAAACACACCAAATTTCCCTCAGTAAATCATTTTATCTAAAATCTTAGATTTATTAACATTTATTACTAATATAATCTTTTTTCTTTTTTTTTACCTGATTGCATCCTTTGCTTTAAATTTATATTTATTTTGGCTTCCAGGGGACATTTTCTCATATGAAGGGGAACCTTCAGTTCTAATACTCTGAAGTTTGATTTGATTTTTTTTTAATTAACTTTTCATAGCTTCCCTTATATTTTAAACTTCAGGCATAGTTTTCTTAAGATTCATCTTTCCCAGTGAAAGTTTCTAATCTTTAAATTTGTTCTCATGTGAATGCTGTTCCACCTATTTGTTCTTTTTATTATTATATTTCCATCATTGCTTAGGTTTTATTTTGTGTGTGTGTGTGGTTTAAGTTTTTGATATGTGGAACCTTTTCAGAAGTTCTTTGAAAATCTAAAAGTGCTCATTTTCAAGCTAAAGTGTTAATCATTCCTCACAACACTGGACTCCACCAGCAAAGCCTAACTAACATCTGAGAGGAAACATGCTGCTTTTCCGCCTCGCTTTCATTCATTTGGTGCTTTCATGATTTTTATTTTACCAACTTGCCTTGGAAGTGAACGTTACTTGCTTATAGTTCTCTAAACTGCCTGTGCTAATTGTACTTTTTATACTAATTTCTGCTTTAGCGCTCTAATATCCATACACCAGATTGCAGCCATTGAGTTGATTCTGACTAATAGCAACACTCACTATAGGACAGAGTAGTACTACCCCCATGTGATTTCCAATATTGTAAATCTTTAAGGAAACAGACTTTGAGGTGTGGTGTTGGAGAACAATATTGAAAGTGCCATGGAATACTAAAAGAACAAACAAATCTTTCTCTTGCAGAGTGGCTAGTGGGTTCAAACCACCACCTTCTGGATAGTGCTTTAACCATTGAATCACCAGGACTTCTTTGAATATCCATAAAACCAAACCCATTGCCATTGAGTCGATTCTGAATCATAGTGACTCTATAGGACAGTGATGGGAATGGTGGTGGTGTGCTGTGGAGTTGGTTCCGACTCATGGCAACTCTGCATAGGGTTTTCGAGGCTGTCAATCTTTACAGGAACAGATAGTCTCATTTTTCTCCGTTAGAGTGACTGTGGCAGTGGTGGTGTTGTGCTGTGGAGTCGGTTCCGACTCACAGTGACCCTGTACAGGGTTTCCGAGGCTATAAATCTTTACGGGAGCAGAAAGCCTCATCTTTCTACCACGGAACAGCTGGTAGTTTCGAACTGCTGACCTTGAGGTTCACAGCCCGATTCGTAACCACTACGCTACCAGAGCTCCTTGTTAGAGTGAATGATGGGTTGGAAACACCAACTTTTCAGTTAGCAGCCCAGCACTTAATCCCCAGTGCTACCAGGGCTTCTTGGTTGTAATTCCATTTAAAAATTGAGCAAACAAAAAGTGGAGATATTTGAGTTTTCTATGGTTAAACTGTCAGATGTAATCATTTTTTTAAAATCACTTTTAAATTCCCCTGAAACTTCTGTTGTAATTTCTTTTCACTAGGTAGAAGCAAGTCTGATGTATTTCCTTTTTTTAAAATGGCTTCTCAAGCTAGTTTATTATAGAAAACAGTCTTTTCTTCTTATCCAAAAATCTTAGCTACATGTGCAATCTCAGTAAAGGATTCTGCCCATGTTTAATGTACAATTGAAACTCCATATTAATTGCTACCTTTACATTTGTTTCATTAAAAAACTGTTTTCACTCAAAAATGTAAATACTAATGAGATTTGAATGTTTTAAAACTTACAATTTCTGTAACCAGAATGTTTTCAGCAAATTAATGACATAACCCTGCCATGTACAGTGGTCTAAATTAACAGTAGACTCCTAACAATTTATCAAGTTAAGATTATTTCTTTATTATTTTATTTTAATTTATAGACTTGAGTCATCTAACTCACCTTGTATTCAAGAAACAGAAAGAAAAAGGAAAGAACTGTTTTCAGTAGCTCCAGATCAACCAAATCATGAAAAGGAATTGAATAAGGTATGGAAAATAACGAGCTCCATTCTTGCAGGTAGATCTGAAGTCTTTCACTACAAAGAGGGATAAAAACTTTCCTCTAACTCCTCTCTTTATCCGTCTATATTTTCTAATATAATAACCTATTCAAATAAAAAATATGAACTAAACCAGCCCTCCCATAGGCCTCTCTGCTCAGCTCATCTGGGTCCAGTAATCCCTTGCAGTGGTCACACAGAACTCAGAAACAATATTCACATTTATGGGATTTATTACGGAAGTTAACAGGTTACAATTCAGGGTCAGAAGGGGTCAGGGCACAGTTTTTGCATTCAGGACAATGTCTCCTCAGCCATGCCCACAGTCAGATCTTTCTCTTTGCCCAGCCAATGTTACAAAGTTCTTTTAGGGCTACAGACAAATGCCCACAAGACACAGCACTCTACCATAAGCCTCAGCCTGAAAGCATTTGGCTCTAGCTCCATGGATCAGTAAACTTAGCCTCCTCGAAGTGCCTGGAGACACCCCACTCTACAAGCAAGCCTCCTGCCCAAAGTCACTCAGCTTTATTTGCTCCGTGGGTTGGGCAGCCCACTGCTCTGTCTCATGCTCTGACTCTTGGTTTTTTTCTACTTCTGCTCCTCTGCTGCCACTCTCGTGTCACAGTTACTGCTCCTGGGTCAAGGAGGTACAACCCACAGTGATCTCAGGGTCCAAAGGACGTGCTCCAGTCCAGACTCTTCTCTGATGGTAGTGAGATCTCCCCTCCTGCTTCTGAGATGACTCATTGTGAACCCAGCCAAAGGGCAAAATTGATCAATCATAATTAGCCTTGTTAACAATATTCACAACTGAATTATAGCATTCATCGCCATTCCCTCACCTTCTCTTGTTGAGACCCATCAAGGCAAAGTCATTTGATGTGAGTTTATAAAGACTATGGCTAGAAGAGGGACATTAAATAATCCACAGCACCTACACTCATCAAGCTGGTAATCCCAGAACTCTTCTTGGTGGTGTTTTGACAAACACAAACCTTAAGTCATCAAGGAGACTGCCCTTAGATTTGGAAGGATCATGGCTCCCTAAGAAGCACTTTATAGCAAGGAGCTTGAGAACACAGACTGTGATCAATCACATGTTTGGTGTTTAAGTTTGAAAAACAGGAGAAAGATGAGGCTTTCTGCTCCCGCAAAGATTTCCATCTTCAGAAATCCTATACAGGGTCACGGTAAGTCAGAACCACTTGACAGTACTTTACAAGAAGCATGGGAAATTATCGATATAAATTGGAGCTGTTTCATAAGCACTGGACTACACAAGGTTGGAAATTGAAACCTATCAGTTGCTCCTCAGGAGAAAGATGAGGCTGCCAGCTCGCATAAAGGTTTATGATCTCAGAAACCCTATGGAGCAGTTCTGCTTTTTCCTATAGGGTTCGCTATGAGTCAGAATTGACATGACATAGTGGGTAGGGTTGGGTTTGATTTTGTAGGCGTATAGCTATTCTGCTAATTTCTGTAGAAGTTACAATGATGTGAAATACAGATCCTATCTCCCAAAGAGTAACTATCAAGGAACTATTAGAATATATGTGTAGAAAGAATTAATGATTATATCTTTATATCTTAAGCTCTTTTTATCATAAAATCCCATGAAACTGATTTTACTGATATTTAAAAACATAGCTATTCTTTCCTGGTGTCCCAAGTTAATACACATAAAGTATAGATACACTGTTCTGAATCTTATAGAACTAGATAGGGTAATAAAACATTAAATAATATAAAGAATCTACTATTTTGCACAGTTTTGCCATGGAAGGAGAGACTGTGAGGCACAAATCTCTTTATAGGCTCTTGGAGACCACTAGATTGTGCATTGGTGTGCAGGAAAGGTAACAAATGAATTGTATATAAATAGCTATAACTTCCAGGAAGTGTTTGTGGGAGAGCATTTTCATTCACTTGTAATAAAACCAACAGGAGCCGTGTATTCTGAATCCTGCAAATGTTTTATTTCCATTTGCTTTTTACAGTATGAAGCTATTTTCAGTGATTCATTTTGTGATAAAATAGGCATTTTCAATAAAGCCAAAAGTCATTGGGAGCTCAGGTAAATTAATCTCATTTAGAAAGAAGCTTTGCAATAAAGCATGTTGCTTTAATATTGAAATGTTGTAAAAAATAATAAAGTTTCTTCCTTTATCATAATAAGATTTTTTTACACTTTAAAAATAAAAGTTTTATTTTAAGAGGCACATATTAAACTACACCACTGTCAGGGGCCTATCTATCAGAAGGTAAATATAGAAAAAGAGAGGATTTAATTATTATTTTTCTTACAGTTTGAGCTTTTTTTCTCATCTGGATTCCTTTTTAATTTTTGTTTTGTTTTGATGAAAATGTACATAGCAGAACATGCACACCATTTTAACTATTTTTCCATATACCATTAAATAACTTTGATGACACACTACCTGTACTTTGAACACTTTCATACTACATATTCCCATGAATCCAGACTGGGTCAAACTTTACAAAACAACTCCATCATTTCATCAAATGAATTATAAGGGAAAAACTGGAGATAGATGGAAACATTTTAGGAGACTTGGAATGTTGTTCTCGAGGTTAGATCATTTGGCTCCCATCTCCTAGGCTCCTCCTTGGCTCTCAGGAATAACTCAGGCTAGTTAGTCTCTTTCCTTCCCTGGTAGTCTGTCTTTTTCATCTGTAAAATGCTGGGATTTGACCATGTGATTTCTAATGTCATGTCAAACTATGGAATTCTAAAAATTTTAGTAATAAGTGCATTCATTTGAGGTAACCCTACACTAGACCCCAGCTCTGTTTTATTTAAAGTGAACCACCTTCAAGGGCTTGGCCCACCAATATAGCACAATGGTAACGTCACAGGTTCAAGAATCACACAGCCTTTTACATCACTGTGTCTGTGAAATGAACAACTTACCCTAATTTTCTTATCTGCAAAACAGAATAATATGGCCCTGACCTCATAGAGCTGTTGTGAGGATTAAATGAAAGGAGACATAGAAAGTATTTAGAGCACACACAAACATACACAGAAAAGAGAAATTTCAAGATGCATGAGTTTGCCTCAATGTATGGACTAGATTTAGATCTGTTTTAAATAAAATGCAAAAAAAAACCCCAACAAGTTATTGCATTTTGGAATCAATTTTAAATGCCAATACTGGCTGCATATTAAAGAATAATTGTTCATTTTCAAAGATACTATGTCAGTATTTGGGCTATGTTGATTTTTTTCTCAAGAGTCCTCAGTTTCTAAAAAAACTTGTATATTGAAAGGTTTAAAGATTAATTGGAAAGAAGTCCATTTAATAAATAAGTGTTTGGAGGTAAAATCATATAACTCTCTCTCTAGCCTTATTTCTCACAACACTTTCAAGTTCCAGCCACTGCAAACTCCTTTTAGCTCATTGAGTGCACCATGCGCCTTACTCACTGCATCCTTTGCCCTAGAGCCCTTCTCCACCACCATCTCTCAACTGACATTGTTCATCATTCCACACTCAGTTCTGATGTCCCTGTACTCTGGGAAGTCTATCCTGATAGTCCCTTCACTACATCGATAACCACACTGTGTTGTAATTGTCTGTTTATTTATTTTAAAAAAGCTTTTATTGTGAATTGTGTGGTAATTTACATAGGAGAACATCAGTTTTGCACTCATCCTGTCGTATTTAGTTTCATTGCAATGATTACATTCGCCTCCATGCATCATCATTCAACAGAATTTGCTTCCATTCCCCATTTTGTTTGTTTTGACGTACACAAAAACACTCAGGAATACAATCATTTAAACAACCAAAGGACACATTCTATAAGGCTGCCTCCTGGCTGCCAGCACACAGCCTTTCTTTTTCCAGGAGTTTAGAGTCCTCAGCTGCTCAATGTCTCCATGTCCTCATCTTTGCCTCCATCTCTGGTGTCTCTGATGCTCTGTATAGGGTCCCACATTCTGCTCATGCGTTTCTCCCTTGATGGTCCTAGGGTCCTCTGTTCCTGTGATGTTGAATGTACTGTTTATTTTTGTGTTTCTTTCATTAGACTATGACTTCTTTTTTTTTTTTTTTTTTTTCAGGACAGTGATTTTGTCCTTTATATCTAAATTCTCTAGAATTAGGAGAAGTGAACAGTAGGGATAACAGGTGGAGATGGTTGCTATAGTTCAAGAAGATGATGAGAAACTGGACTAAGACAGTGGTTATAGGAATAAAGAGTGATAAATGCAAAGCGTAGCCAAGATTAAGAGTCTGGAGAGTATACATGCCTCACCAGGCGTGTGGGGGAGACATTCTTGTGGCGACATTGTCTGAAGTTTATTATAACATGGTTCTGAAAAGCATTGTTGTTAAACGCCGTCAAGTCAGTTCTGACTCATAGCAACCCTGTATTGATTGGGTTTCCGAGGAACAACTGGTGGATTTGAACCACAGTCCTTTTGGTTAGTAGTCCAATGCTTATCCTGCAGTGCCACACCGGGAGTCCGTAGTTAGTATTTAATCATACAGTGCAGCATAATTTAGTCAAAAAGCACTGAATTCAAGACCAAAAGCTCAGAGTTCTAGTCCCAGCTCTGTCAGTTATTATCTTTATGACCGTAAGCAAATCATTTACACTCTCTAAGTCTAATGTTTCTCTACTTTTAAAAAAAGGTTTGGTAATACTTTCTCCACCTTCCAGTTAAGATACATACCCAAAACTATGTGGACATGGCCAGTGAAGCCTTAAGCTGCTCTGTAGATAAAAGCGTCGTTAATGTTTCCTGGAATCTGTCTGCAGATACGAAGTCAGCTCTATCAGGAGGAAGAGTACCATAGCTCTGAGCAGGAACGAATGAAGAATGCAATCTCTGACCTAACAGCGGAGCTTCATCAGAAGGAAATCACTATAGCAACTATCATGAAGAAAGCTGCCCTTCTGGAAAAACAGTTAAAAACGGAATTAGAAATAAAAGAAAAAATGCTAGCAAAACAACAGGTATGCAAGCAGGCAGGACGGTAGCTGCCTAGGTGACACTCTTGATCAGTACCAGTAGTAGCCTTCATTACTGACGGTGAATGGTATTGCTTTTCTCAGCATTGTTTCTAAGACTAGCATTGCAGGAATGCTTTGTGGCATTACACACACAAATAAGTGATGGTACAAGATGAATTAAACTCACTCTAACAATTCCCTGTAGTCAATATTTGATCACTTCACGTAGTATGTTCTAGTCAAAGATTTCTCACTCCATAGCTTCTTTTCTATAATCATTTTTATCTTTTAAAAAAATCTATACTCCAGGGAATGGAGTATAGATTTTTTAAAAGATAAAAATGACGCTTCCAACTGCCCCATCTCATATAGTTATTTTAGAATTTTAAAAAATGAATGTTGAAGCATGGAAGCCAGCTCCTATTTGGTACATGGGAATAACAAGGATTGTAATATTGTAACATTGCTACTGTTACATACTGCAAAGTAATTTCCAGAGTCATCATTCCCCTCTCCTTTTTTTCCCTTTTCCTTCCCTTTCTCCTCTTTTCTGCATCCTTCCTCCTTTTCTTCCCTTCCCTTTCGTCTTCCTTCTCACTGTCTCTCTCTATTTTTGTTGTTGTGTGCCATCAAGTTGGTTCCAAGTCATAGCGATTGTATATAGGGTTTCCGAGAAGCAGTTGGTGGGTTTGAACCACCAACCATATGGTTCACAGTCAGGTGCAGATCCTATAGTGCCATACTCATCATCAGATTAGTGAGCGCCTATTGAAAAAATAGGATTTTTCTGCTTCTTTCCCCAAGAGCCCTGACCATTAGCTTTGTAGGCAAATGAGGGTCACTGTAAAGCTATTTAGACCCTTTTCAATATAAAAACAGAAAACATTCAGCTTTTACCCAAATGTAAGCTTTACACTAATTCCTTTAAGCATCTTAGTTATTTATCTATGCTGCTATAATCGAAATATCACAAGCAGGACGCTTGAACAAACAAAAATGTATTTTCTCACATCTTAGGAAACTAAAGAGCCCTGGTGTGGCGCTGTAGGTTAATGCGCCAGACTGCAAAGCTGTTTGAACTGCAAGGTCGTGGTTCAAGTTCACCAGCTGCTCCTTGGAAACCCTATACAGGATCGCTATGGGTCAGAACCAACTTGACAGCACTCAGCAACAACAACAACAACAACAATAAAGAGTCCTGGTGTAGTGCTGTAGGATGAGCACTGAACTGCTAACCACAATATCAGCAGTTCAAACCCACCAGTCACTCCTCAGAAACCCTCTACAGGGTCCCTGTTTGTCAGAACCAACTTGACGACGGTGCTTAGCAACAACACATTTCTGAAACCTGGGTGTTAGCTCTAGGAGAAGCCTTTCTTTTTTGGTTGGCTTTAGGGGAAGGTCCTTGTCTCTGTCTTCTCCTTTCCTTGGCTCATCCGTGATCTTCCTCCATCTCTGCTTTTTTTTTTTTTTTTTTGCTGCTTGATTAATCTGTTCTTTTTATCTCTCAAATGAGATTGGTTTAAGACATACCCTTCACTAATACTGCTTCATTAATGTAACAAAGAAAACTCATTACTAAATGAGATGATGTTGCCATTGTTGTCAAGTGCCTTCAAATAGGTTCCAACTCACAGTGACCCTGTATAGAGTTTTTGAAGAGCTGCTGGTGAGTTTGAACCACCGACCTTGCAGTTCAAACCAACATATATTGTTGTTGTTAAATGCCATTTAGTCAGTTTCATAGCAACCTTATATAGGGTTTCTGAGAAGCAGTTGGTGGGTTTGAACCGCCAACCTTGTGGTTAGTAGTCCAGTGTTTATCCAACAGAGACATACCAGGACTCCAGTCACAGGTATAGAAGGTTGAGATTATAAGATATTTTTGAGAGCCAGAGTTCAGTACATAACAGACAGGATGGTAGCATTGAAGGTACCTACATAAACCAAGCCCACTGCTATCAATTCAGACTCTTAGTGACCCTGAACAGGGGTTCGGAGACTATAAATCTTTAGAAGAACAAGAAGCCTCATCTTTCTCCTAAGGAGCAACTGATAGGCTTGAATTGCCAACCTTGCAGACTGGACTGGTTAACAGCCCAGTGCTTATCCTACAGCACTCACAGGGCTTTCTTTAGGGAAGAATATTTTACATCAGGTATTAACAATGATCTGGGTAGTTAGAATATCAATGATTTTTATTTGCACCTTTACACTCTTCTGTAATTTCTAGGTTTTTTGTAAGTGAACATGTATTTTATAATTTAGGAAACTAACCCTCTTTAAGGGAGGTATTTTATGTAAAAAGAAGTCTAAATAATTGAAAAGTTAGATATACTATGCCTACATATTATCAAGAAGAAGAAATCAAGAAAAGAATAATAAATTGGGAGACAAAATGAAAGTGTCACAATTTTAAAACAGAAAATTTGACAGCAATATTAGAAAGAATAAAATATATAATTAAATATGAAAGTCATAAATTGTGTTTTATAAAAATTAGGTAGTCTAAAAATGTAATGGACAGTGTTATTCGAATGTGTTTAAAATTGTGATTGTCTTGTGATCATTTTATACAATAGAAAATATAAATGAGAAATGGAATTTTAGAATTGGAAGGAAAAAAAGTCAATGAGTCATTGTTATTAATCATCGATTTTTAAGTTGGCATTGATACAGGATAAGAGAGTAAATTGGGCCCTGCCAGAATTTTTTGATAGGGTCGTTGTTGTTGTCAGGATCAGTTCTGACTCGTAGTGACCCTATACACAACAGAACGAAACACTGCCCAGTCCTGCACCATCCTCACATTATTACACTTGAGCCCATTGTTGCTGCCACTGTGACAATCCATCTAGTTGGAGGTCTTTGTCTTTTTTTGTTGGCCCTCAACTTACCAAGCATGATGTCCTTTTCCAGAAACTGGTCCCTTCTGATAACATGTCCAAAGTAGGAGTCCTGATGTAGTGCTGTAGGATAAGCACTTAACTGCAAGGTCTGTCTGAACCACAAGGTCAGTAGTTCAAACTCACCAGTTGCTCCTTGGAAACTCTATACCATCTCAACAGCACTTAACAACAACATGAGACATGAAATCTCACCATCCTGGTTCCTAAAGAGCATTCTGGCTGTACTTCTTCCAACACAGATTTGTTGTTTGTTCTTCTGGCAGGCCTTGGCACTTTTAATATTCTTCTCCAACACCACAACTCAAATGCATCAATTCTTGTAAGGACTTCCTTATTCATTGTCCAACTTTCACATGCATATGAAGTTATTGAAAATACCATGACTTGGATCAAGCACACCTTAGTCCTCGAACTGACATCTTTGATCTTGAACACTTGAAAGAGGTCTTGGGCAGCAGATTTCCCTAATGCAATACGTTGTTTGATTTCTTGACTGCTGCTTTCATGAGTGTTGCTAGTGGAGCCAAGCAAAATGAAGTCTTTGAGAACTTCAATCTTTTCCTCATTTATCATGATGTTATTTACTGGTCCAGTGGCTAGGTGTAACCCAAGAACTGAATAAGAACCCTTGATTCGTGCTGATCATGACTAAGAAAAGTGTTTCTGTTCACCAACACTTCAAATATATTTGTATTAACAAAAAAATAATTTGAATATAATTATAAATTTTTAAAGTGAATTTTACATTTGCCTTTAACCTACTAATCTTTTTTAGGTCTCAAATATGAAATACAAAGCTGTCAGAACTGAAAACACACATCTGAAAGGAATGATGGGAGATTTAGACCCCGGACGATACATGGTAATATGCTGAAATCATTCAGTAAATTGAACAAAGAGATTATTTAGTTCATCAAGATTTACCCAGACGCCATTTACTTCCTACATGTTATGTTGCAGGAGCTACAGTGGCAAATGATCTTGCACTTCAGTTTAATTAACTTTTTTCCTCAGGTTACAATATGTGAATTTTTGGTTTTAGTCCCTTTGTTTGGTTTTTTTATTGGATTGGGCTCAATTCTAATCATTTCCCCAAACATGTCAAATGTGTTTTTTATCTTTTGCTCTTGTGTTTCTTCAGAAATCCTACTTGGCCCCATTCCAATGTTATCCAGTCCTTTCATAAAACTGTCCCTGAAATTCCAGTCTAAATGAACTATGGGCCATGATATTATTTTAAAAATTTTAAATAAAACAAATTAAAAAAAACAGTGTAGTCAAGTCTACCCCAACTCCTGGCCACCCAATGTGTCAGAGTAGAACTGTGCTTCATAGGATTTCCGTAGCTGAGTTTTTGGAAATAGGTCATCAGTGTGGTATTAGTAATAAATAGAAATGTTTACTCACGAAGAACACATAATTAATTAATTGAATTATAATTTACATACTGGAACTTTCAATGAAGTCTTTAAAAAATGTTTTGCTTACTTCCCATCCCCCCTTTTCTCTAGCCCTCCATCTACATCATAACCCATCTACCACATAACCCAGGTTAACTACCCAGTATGTAGTATTTTGTACTTTGCCACTCAACACATTCACACACATCTATTGAGGGTATTTTATCAATTGTATCACACTATACACCTATCTTTCTGTTTTCACACAACACCACCCTTGGAAGTCATTCAGAGTCAGTTGGTTTAGGTCTCTTTCATTCTTTATAATGACTTAATCTTCCATAGTGTTGTTAATGTTGTTGTTAAGTGCCATCAAGTCAGTTTCAACCCATAGCGAACCTGTCTAGGGTTTCCGAGGAATGGCTGGTGAATTTGAAATACTGACCTTGCAGTTCAAACCAACCCTGCAGTCAAGTGCTTATCATACAGCGTCACACCAGGACTCCATCCATATATGAGGGGGCTTCCAAAAATTCATGGGAAAATATCATTATTTTTCAATTCTGTCTGCCTACAAGGGTGCTTCAAAAAGTTCTTGGGAAAATGGAATTAAAAGATAATGGATTGACACAAAATTTTGCCTCCACCCACCCTATAGAGTGTGTGTGTGTGTGTGTGTGTGTGTGTGCGTGTGCATCTTTGAATAGCTTTCTTGGAGTGGGATATTCTAAGGGCATGTGAGTGTTTTCATTTTAATACCCATTGTCAAATCATGTTTCTACTATAACTGTAGGAAGATGCCTTTTCTTTCACCAAATCCTATACATGGTCAGAACCGACTCGCCGGCACTTAAGAGCAACAACAATGGTAATAGGTGTTCCTATTCTTTTTCATTGCTGTCATTCTGATGAGTATAAAGTGAAATCTCAATAGTATTGTAATTTGCATTTGCACAGGTTAGCATCTTTTTGTTTATTTATTGGCAACATGTACTAATACAAATTACTTACATCTTCTGCTCATTCTTCTGTTGGATTCTTTGTCTTTTAAATCTGTTGTTAGGAACTTTGTTTATAATACCTTTTTCCCACAAATAAGCTTTTAACTTTTATTTGCTAAACATGTGTCTTTTTGTTTATAGCTTCCTAGCTTCCTTGAATAACAAAATTCCCTCTACTTCCAAGTGGTATGTGTTGTTGTTACTGTTGTTAAGTGTTGTTGAATTGCTTCCAACTCATAGTGACTCTGTATAGGGTTTCCAAGGAGCAGCTGGTGAGCTTGAACCACCAACCTTATGGTTCAAACTGACCTTGCAATCCAGCGCATTAACCCGCAGTGCAATACTAGGACTCCAGGTGGTATATATAGTGTCTGAAGTTTTCTTCAAAATTTCTGTATTTTTCATCTATGTTTTTATATTTTAATATATTGGCTTTTCCATCTGAGTTTTTAGTCTATTTGAATTGTAGTTTTGCTTATATTATATGATATAAAACCAATTTAAAATTTATATGAATATTATACTCAAATTATACAGTGTCTCCTGATAACTTCTTGCTGGGTTCTATTTGGAACTGAATTAAATTTATATTGTTACCTTTGAGAGAATTGACATTTTTTTACGATAGTAAATTTTTCCATCCAGTAATATGACATCACTTTTCATTTCTTTGTCCTATTTTATATTCTTCAATAAGATCTTACAGTTTCCTTTGTATGTGTTCAGTAGCTTTCTTTTTAAATTTATTCCCAAGTATCGTATAATTCTTGTCACAATGGTGAATGGAGCATTTTCCTTTTTCCACATCTAAGAACTTATTACTAAAATTTTTTAATCTGTAGCAGGCTTTTTATTAGAAGTCTTTAGATTTTTTTTAAAGGGAAATAAGTGGATAGGTAGGGTGAGATGAGTATGCAGTCTAATCAACAACAAAAAAATAGTCTCTTCTTTCCCACTGTTTATATTATATTTGCTAAAAAACGATAAACTATTAAATTAATAAGTGATGGCTGAAAAAATCTGTCTAGTTTCTGATTTTAATTTAAATTCATTTAGATTTTCCTGTCTAGGATAATATTTGTTCTTGATTTATGGTTCTTATGGGGCGCTATGGATTAATGCGTCAGACTGCAAAGCCATTTAACTGCAAAATTGGCAGTTCAAGCTCACTAGCTGCTCCTCGGAAACCCTATACAGGGTTGCTATGGGTCAGAACCAACTTGATGGCACTTAACAATGGCATTACACTTAACCTGTTTCCTTTTTCCTATTTTACTTAGAGTTTTTATTAAGAATGACTGTTGTTGTTAAGTACCGTGGAGTCGGCTCCGACTCATAGTGACCCTGCACAGGGTTTCCGAGGCTGTAAATCTTTACGGGAGCAGAACACCTCATCTTTCTCCGTGGAACTGCTAGCAGTTGCCTGTTAGGTAGTATCAAATGCCTTTTCAGCATCTATGACATCATGTGGTTTTTCTTATTCAGCTTGTTAATGTGCAATAGACCATGGTTAACACATTTCCTGATATTGATCTACCTTTGAATTCCCTGAATAAACATTCTTGCTCATACTCCAGCAATTTTGACACATTACTAGGTTCTGTGTCATCATATTTTATTTGGAATTCTCTCCATATTCCATGGCTTCCATAATCTGCCCCACCCTACCTATCTACCTGTTTTCCTTAGTGACCTAAAGAAGCCCTCTGCTTGAACTAGATGTGTCTTAGTGTCCTCTGCGTACGTGATACTCATTGTATGCTCCTTATTGCTTCCGAACCTTCACTCATGCTTTTCCTTCTACCATAACATGGCACCTCTCTTCTCCTGGCTTGGCTCTGCTAATGCTTCAAGTATTTCAGAACAAACTTTACAAGTTATGTTAAACCTTCCCTGATTGTTCTCTCTTCTGTAAAGTGTTCTTTCTCAGAGTCATCATAATATCATTTACTTATCATTATAATGAGTTCTGGTAACATATGGTTACAAGTCGGGCTGCTAATCTCAAGGTCAGCAGTTAGAAACTTCCAGTGGTCCTGTGGGAGAAAGATGAGGCTTTCTGCTCCCATAAAGATTTACAGCCTCAGAAACCCTATACAGGGTCACTCTGAGTCAGAACCGACTCCACGGCACATCACCACCACCACCAGTGGCACGGTGGTTAAGTGCTCTGCTGCAAACAGAAAAGTCAGCAGTTTGAACTTACCAGTGGCTCTACGTGAAAAACAAGACCTGGGGATCTGCTCCTGTACAAATCATAGCCTAGAACGACAGCGACACAAGATGGCAGCCACCATGGGCTCGGGAGTAGAAGTCCCTCACAATTTTCGACTGTTGAAAGAACTTAAAGAAGGCCAGAAAGGAGTAGGAGATGGCACAGTTACCTGTGGTCTAGAAGATGGCAAAGACATGACACTTACAAGATGGACAGGGATGATAATTGGGCCTCCAAGAACAATTTATGAAAACCGGATATACAGCCTTAAAATAGAATGTGGACCTAAATACCCAGAAACACCCCACCTTTGTAAGATTTGGAACAAAAATTAATATGAATGGAGTGAATAGTTCTAATGGCATGGTGGACCCAAGAGCCATATCAGTACTAGCAAAATGGCAGAATTCATACAGCATCAAAGTTGTCCTGCAAGAGCTTCGGTGCCTAATGATGCCTAAAGAAAATATGAAACCCCCTCAACTACCTGAAGGACAGTGTGACAGCAATTAATCAAAAAGAAAAGCCACAGGCCCTCCCCTGTTACCACCCCCATTCGATTTAGGCAGTCTTCATTTTCCACAGTAAATATTCTAGATATGTCTTGTAGACCTCAAAGTACTGGAAAGGAAGCATCCATTCAAGGGCAAGTTATCTTAAGATATTGTAAATGATACTAATTTTATGTCCATTTGAAATATATAAGTTGTGCTATAACAAACAAACAAAAAATTCTAGCCTAGGGTCCTCTATTTTGGAGTTCTAATTTGTCTAGTAGACACTGTGAGTGTGAATCCAGTAGTCAGCATACAGCAGCGTCACAGCACAACACTGAAATTACCCATTTACTTGTCAGCTGCCCGTTCCTTGTGAACATATTGAGGCTCATTGACGACAATTAATGATCCTGGGTTTTCCATTGTACCTTAGCCCTTAGTACAGGGCCTGGGTATAGGAGACTGGGGGAAAAAAATTATCAGATTAGTGAACAAGTAAATGAGTTAATGTTGCATGAATGACTCCTCTATATATCTTCCATCTGTGTGCTTTATCAGATGATCTAGATTAAATTTTATCTCCTTCATGAATTCATATCCAGTTACTCTGTTGTTGTTGTTGTTAAGTGCCGCAGAGTGGGTTTTGATTCACAACAACCCTATATATACAGATTTCAAGGAGCAGCTAATGGGTTTGAACTGCCAACCTTATGGCTAGCAGTTCAGTGCTTACCCTACAGCACCAAACC